CCGGCGAGGCGAGAGCACCCGAGCGTAGCTCTGCAGCCACTTCACAGCACGGCAAGTTCAAGCTCAGCATTCACGGCACAAGCATTTTCATTTCCCTTCTCGTGCTGCTTGAAAATCCCCCGTGCAAACTCGATTCGACTGGCGCGTTGGCCTGCTGATGGCGTGGTGGCCGCCCGTAGACTGACCTCTCTTGTATTTCAGTTTACCCTTCACCTGAAGTAATTTCCTAGTGTGATGGAAGCATGCCATGCACTTTCACAGGAAAGATAAAATAGATGAAAATGTAACCAGGTTACAGCCAGAAAGTATCCCGAGACTGTGTGCTAGCAGCTTATTCCCATGGTATTACTGCTGGAGTTACTCCTTCAGCTCCTTGCTGGAGTCTCAGCAGCTCCTAAGCAATTGAGCATCGCTGTCGTGGGGATTAGGAAGCGGTGGAAGCTCTGTGCAATAGAGCAATACTTGTGTTTGTCTGTTTATAATTCATTTCTATTAGTCTTTTTGTTGTGTATTCATGGCCATGAGCAAGTGCTGCAAGTTATTGTGGAGAAGGAGGTTTAATTTTGCTAATCCTGTTTTATTCCCATTTCAGTGTAGCTTTTCGAATGCCACAATGCGGTGCCTGTAATGAATTTAAAATGTATTTTTGAATGGTACTGTCTTGCAGAATGTATTGGAAGCTCATCTGAATGTGCTTTAATACGAGATGCTGAAAAGAAAGAAAATCATCCATCTGAAATGCCGTTCGCATGGACTCTTTCATGCTGGCTGGGAATAACACCCTGCATACCAAGCAGGGAGGAAGCAGAAGCCTCTTCCTCACAATACGCTCAAACCCCTAACATGATTACAATCTTTTTATCTCGGCTAAAAAGCATTTTCTTTCATCCTTCTCAATAAGAGTGTTTCTTTTTACCATTTGGTCCACCACCTAATGCAAGCCAGACATATGCAGCAATTTTCACCAAATTATGATTTATTTGTACTCTTTACACCCAGAAAAGTGCAAATGAAATGATGACTGCGTTGAACAAGGCACTTTATAAACGCAGCCGTAACTCCAGCCTTGTCCGGGAGCTTACAGTGGGACAGGCGAGGCAAATAAGGAGCAAGAGGGGGATACGGTCACAGCAGTGAGGTGTCCTGACCCAGGTACGAGCAGCTCTGGGAGGGGGATTCGGGTCTGCTGAGCCCCAGGAAATTTGGTGCCTTTTTATTTGATTTTGCTGCTGAGGGGAGTCCAGGTTGTCAGGTCCAGCTGTCATTGTGTGGTCCTGGGTGGAGGAACACACATTCGACTGGAAGGCAGAGGGAAGAGGTTGGTTTTCAGGCAAGTCGGGTCCTTGAGCTGGCTCACAGGAACCGGTGCTGCTGCAGAGGAGGATGCTTGGTGGTTTTTGGCTTTCCTTTTGTTATTCCTGGGGAAGAAGGACCCTCAAAAACTCTATTTCTTGGGCAGGAAGCTAGGTAGGAGGCTGGCTCTGCATGTATGAGAAGGAGAATGCAGGGCTGGAGTAAGTGGTTTCCTAGCTCTGTTGGAGAACATCCTCAGCTTACAGATCCTCTGAAATGGCCAACACGAAGAGCCATCTGCCAGCGCTTGACTGATGGGACGTGGCTTTTTGCAGCCATTCGGCGTTGCTGCCGGGATCTCCCCCACATGCAAAGAGCACCGTTCAGAACCATGGGCATGTTTATTGAGAGCATAGTCCAGTGTCAGGCACCATGCTGTTAGTTGGGTGGCCAGACACCTAAAATGGAGCCTGGATATTGACTTTTCTCCTGGGAACACAAGGATGGCTGGATGCGATCAGACCAAAGGTCCTCACAGCCTAAAAACCTGTCTGGAAGGTTGTCTGGGGGAGAGGAGGAATTGCTCTGTCCCTTGGAAAGCTTTCCAAATCCCACCATCCCAGCAGCGAGGGACATGGTGAGGCAAGCAAAGCAACCAACCGCCCCTTTTGCTTGTGTTAAACCTACAACACAATTGTTTCTTCTAATGCCTCCGCTTGCTTGGGTTATGAGAAAGAGCGTGTGATTGCTGCCTCTCCACCTTCTCCGGGTCATTTGTGATTTATTTTTTTATAGATGTCTGTCACATTCCCTGTCCCATTGGGCATTTGTTGTCTGGACTTGAAGAGTCCTGTTAGTGATTTAACAGTTAATTATGGCCAGGAAATCTCTGCAACTCTGTGACATCTCTCTTCTCCTTTTTCTCTCAGCTCCTATTTATGGCATCTGTTACTTAAAGTATCATGTACTAGTAGTAACCCTTAGGCTACATATACTACTGGTGTTTTAATTCAGAACAGTACTGCACTTTGGAGGTGACTCTACCGACTACATTGTTGTTTCCGTGTGCAATGTGGTTTTGGTTTGCGTGGACCAGATTTCTTTCAGAAGCTTCACTCCAGTTGCCCATCACATGTCCTCCAACCTCTCATGGGACATACAGGTCCATACCGGTGATGGACGTACCAGTAAAGGACATACTGGTGATGTCCTTTAGACAACTTCCCTGTGTCAGGTGGGGACCAAACAAAAAACCAGATGAAATCTAGTTCAAAGGAAACCCTCAAAGTTTTCTTTGAAGGAGAGCCATGGGAGCCTCAGCCCAAAATTGCCTGATCATGTCTGATTGCACCAAAGTGTTTGTTAATGTAGAAATGTCTTTGGATTTTTATAGTGCTTTTCCTTGTCAGAATATTCTACGGCCATTAAAAGTTCAAAACGCCTTCTTGCCTTATTCCCACTATTGATGTGGAATTTTCATTGCAGGGTGATGATGGAATCGAATTGCAAAAAAAAGTCATTGATGGTGACATTTGGGTAAAAAGGAGGAGGTTTTGGCTTCCTGGCTTGTGTTTAGAGTGGCAGTAGATGTCCCTCGTGATTGTGCCGTGCTGGCACTTCTGGGCAGCACGTTCCCCCACCTTGTTACTGTCAAACCATCTCCTTTCAGATGCTTTCAACTTACTGAAAAAGTACCTGCTCAGGTGAAACATGTCCTACATGCTTTGGACAAGGAAAGGCTTTCCATTTTGGTGCCTTGAGTACGATGATTTGTTCAGAGAAATAACGTGCGATAGAAATGTGGTGGTTGGGCTTAAATCAACATGTTTTCTCACTAGAGAAAAGAAAATAATTTTTGTGAATATAGATGGGTTTTGAAGTTCATCTTCCTATGAAGAAGTCATATTTTTTTAAAGCAGTGGTAGGCAGGTGTCATACAGCGTATGCAGACACGTAACGTGTGTGTTTGTCCACAGTTTGAGGTATATGTCTGAGTGCGTCCTGTATCCACCCCATCCTACGCTTGAAATAGCCTCCTGTGTTGAATGGGATCCGTATGGCAGCCCAAAAGCCAGGCTTTTGGATGGACACTTGAGGTATACGTATGACTGTGTCCTGTATCCGCCCCATCCTACGCTGAAATAGCCTCCTGTGTTGAATGGGATCCGTATGGCAGCCCAAAAGCCAGGCTTTTGGATGGACACTTACAGAAGCTGGTGTTCACCATCTCAGAGATAGATGACGTTCGGTTTTCTCCTGTAAATGAGAACTCAAGCCAGAAGGCAAACACCCCCTTGCCAAGGGCAGGTTCGCCGAGACTCAGAGCACTGCCTGGGGACACGAGGACCAAATGGTCATAAAACCCTTATGCTTAAATATAAATCCCCAGCTGTAATGTCTCATGGATGGAAAGTTTTGCACTGATTTTCCCGTTGATCTTCTTAAGAGCTCCGTCGTGCGTTACTGAAGCCGCTGGCGTAAATACGTGTCTCTGTGTAGTTTTCTCTTCCAGCTCGCTTTATCACCGTGATTTTCTTTGCTTTGAGAAGTGCTCCTTCTGTGCTAACTTGGGGGTGGAGGGAAGGCTAATTAATTAAGCAGTAATTGTTGTCAAGTCAATTGGTGCTAACATTTAACATTTGACTTGTTTGTTATCCTGAGGTAAAGCGGAAGGAGTTAATGATCTAACAAATTGTGCATCCATCATGAGAGACTTGTTTGGAAAGAACGGTTTTGTTTATGAACTGTAAAATAATACATTTTAAAAAACCCCACATTTTGAAGCCAGATCGTTGAAGTTCTTGTGTGAAATTGTCACTAGATAGCTGTGGAGACAAATGCATCGCCTAATAAAGCTTAATGACTGATTTTCCCATTAATCAGAATTGAGAATGTGCTTCATTAAGATAATTAACTGAGCCAGTTGCTTAACTGACAGCTAGTAGACACAAATTCCCAAGTTACTTGCTTTCCTCTAAATAAAACTCACAAGAAGCTAACCTGGCACTGCTTCATCATCTTTATTGGAGAGAAAAACAGGAGGGCTGTTAAAATCTCATTGCCTGTGTTAGGTCCATGACTGCATCTCCCCGTCTGGGACAGTGGTGGGATGCGGTGGGTGGTACTGGGTGCCCTGCACAGCCTCGCGCAGGACCCAAGCCTTGGGCTCGAGGTTATTGTAGTCAGCTCACGCTGAAAGCTCACAAATATTTGCCGCTCTCCATCTCGCCAGGAGCAAATGGTCTTTTATCTGCTAATTTCTGAAAGGTCAGGTCTTTGTTGTGGTTGTTTTTGTCACCCAAGAACTATTAGCTCCTCCAAGGGGGAGAATTCCTTGTCAGAATTTGTGGCTTCTCCTCTTTGTTCAACGCAAGCTGGAAGTGGGGTCATGAGTCCTGAGCCCCCCTGAAGGCAGGGATGTGTAAGATTAATCTGCTCCAGGTTCATTTGTAGGCAGAATATGCAGTGCTGAAGAAGTTAGGGGAATTAACCGAGAGATCCAAAACTTGAATTATTAAATATACTATCTGGTTGTAACGTCTAGTTGTAAATCCTTTCCTTCCCAGCTCTCTGTGTCTTGAATTATAACACGGTAATGCTATCACGTAGCAGAAGACTCTTTGCACAGAAGACGACTCTGGAGCTAACATAAGGTAGTCGTCTCAACTCTGCTTTTCTTTTATTCTCAGAGTTCCCGGTCTTCCACCATGAACCCTGTTTACAGCCCCGTCCAACCTGGGGCTCCCTACGGAAACCCGAAGAACATGGCGTATACAGGTAGGACTGGTGTTCAGTGGCTCTTTTGTGAATGTCCATATTCGGTGGTGAGAGCAGATGATCGTTAATGAGTAGTTAATCCCTTAACGAAGGGAGAGAGTTCCCATCAAGGAGCCAGATGGGAACATGATTTGCAGGAAAAACTTCTGCAAAGCCAGTGCAGTAAGGTTAGTGAGAAGAAATGGATCTGAATTCCTAAGAAGAGGATGCCGTGGAAATCCTAAAGAAAAGGATCAGAAGGGTGTTTCTTTAGACAAACAAAACATGCAAGAAGTTGCTGGGGGAGTTGCTGGAAGTTGCTGGGAGCTGGAGGGCTTGCTTCCGGAGCTGACCTGAGCGACTTGGGTGCACGTGCTGGAATAATCCTGCTGTAGAAATGAGGATCCCGCAGGCGCGAGCCCGTTATTTGGAGAACATGCAGTTATTGTTATAGGTGGTGATTTAACTACATTATGGACTGATTTTTTTGTTTTCAAGTTACGAGTTAACAAGCAAGGTTGATGTCTGTTTGAAGTCCATCTTTAGAACTGAGTTGTCTAAAAATGTCATCTTTAATACTTGAAAAAGGCATTGAAATATGTTTACCATAATTATGTAACTAGTGGGGAACTAAAGTGTACTTATAGGTAAAGAAGTTAGCTCGGAGAGAAATAGTGCTTTGGAAAAAGAAAATCTCAGCTTAGGTGTATCTGTGGTTTTCCCCGTGGATTATGTTTACCAGCAGTTGTTGTTCTGATCTTCTATAAGCACCTTACAAAATCACCCTCGGAAGACTCCTTCTTCTAACGTTTTGTTGAATATAATTAGCTATCAAGTGTCATATTGTGGTAAGACTTCCTTCTTTACATTTGCATTGCCAGTTGTATGTGTTGACTTTTACCTAATGTGTGAAATTGCTCGGGAATGTGCTTTTGTGGGGGAAAGCGGTCAACAGCAAATGGAAATGAACATCAAATACTCGTAGCTACTTAATTTGCAAAATATTCTCATTGGCTTCGGTAGCTGTTTCAGCCGGTAGATCAGTAGGGCTAGCTGCGTTGCTGCGAGGAGACCTGTCTGATAGTCTGCGGAGCGGAGAGTTCCTCAAAGGCGTTTTGCCCCATTTTTATTCACCCTTTCTTTTTCCCCATCAAATTTATGCATGCTGCTTTCTTGGAGATAGTGTAGCTCAGGGGAACTTTGGTCTCACAGTCAAAGCACTAGAGGCTTGGGAAAAAAAAAAAATCTCTGTGAATAATAGTCTCTTCAAAAATATCACCATTGTAAGAGGACTGCAGACTCCAGCAGTGCTTGGGTGATAGAATGAGCTCATAAGTGCACAGTTATTTTCCTACACTAGAAATAACAGCAATTTTGTGCTTTCCAGCACAAGCATGGTTTGGACAAGAGTCTACTTCTCTCCCACTTTACGTTTTTTTTTCTGGCGTGTGCTCACAGCTCCACCTTAAAACCCATGCAATGTAGATTTTCTATATCTGCTTTCATACAATCCTGAATGTTTTAGAAGCTGCTTTCTGGCACTCAGTAACACAATTTTATTTAAATATTGAGGTGCAGATTGGATAGTTTGCACCTTGGCCTTTCTGGAAGGAGAATTTTAGAGGGTGATTTCTGGTTTATATGAATGAATTCTACACGGCTGCATTCAGAATAAGTCAAATGGCAATATTAATAGGATGTTATCGTCTAAAATAACCTGCTGGTTAATCACCATGAAGATTCTACTGTGCACTTAAATATATAAAGCTATTGTCTGCCTTGGCCAGCTTGTGCCAGCTCTGGTAGGGATCATGGCGAGGTGGCCCCCATGAAACTGGTTTCACCCCAAACCATCGGACTTCAGGCATTTGTGTTCCAGAGTTTGTGGTAAATGAAGAGAAATCAGTGGCAGCTGTGCAGGATAACCTTGGAGAAAAAAGTTGGAGGCAGATCAGACTGGAAAAAATATAACAAAGTCCTTAGTTATGTTAATGGAAAAACAAAGAAGGGAAAATTCAAGTGACTGCTTGAACGTAGGACACCGAAGCAGGAATTGAATCATATTAGTGCTTGGTTTTGCACAGGTGTAAGGTAAGGAGTCAGTGGGCTGAATTCTTACAATGAAGTCCCAAAATAGATAATAGGTTAAAAAGCATTTAAACAAAGAGCTGTTTTCTTTGGTAGGCAAATAGTATTACAAAACCTTTTAAATATGAATTTATTTGAATATTTAATGAAAGACCTAAAGTTATATTGCAAAAGAGGGGGAGAAAATTTAAATTTTATCCTTTGTATAGAAAAGACAGGCGACTCCTGAGGGTGGTCTCAACAGTTATTAAAAGAAGGCTGCCATGTCTCCTGCATTACAAGTGCCAGGCTCTGTCTATCTAATTCTTGCTTTCTATGCTTAATTTCATTTACATTGCTTTAACTTGCATCATTTAGCTACGTATCAGTTTCTAATGTAGCCACAAGCTATTCTGGACGATATTTAAACTTATAGAGACAAACAAAATAGACTTTTCCCAGGAGAAGCATAAAGTTAAGGAGTTTGTAGATACTTCCTTCTCAAATTGCTTTGAAAATAATGGCTAAAACATATGACCTGGTAGAGCTGGAGGGGATGTTGACTGCCATCATGCGTGCAAACCCCTTCCGTGGTCCTGGGAGCTGATTACAGCTACGGGGCTTAACGAGTGTCTCAGTCCTGGTCGGCGGCTGAATGGAAGAGTTTGTTCAGAGCCCCTCATTTGGAATAGCGTGTCAGCAAACCTTCCCACGATCACTTCATGAGACAGACTGCACGACATCTGTCCCAAAATTTTGATTTGAGATCTAATTTGGGATACGATATAGAATTTATACAGTATATAATTTTTTTTTTTAATCTCATCTTTTTGCAGTAGTGGAGGACACTGAAAAAAATTAATGCCAAGCTTTATATTAGGCAAGAAAGAGAAATTTAAAAAGCCTGAAGTGTAATAAAGTTGAGGTAAAGGTTGTTAGCCCAAGGCCATGTTCTTGGTTTGCTTTAGAGTCCAGGTTTTTTTACCCCAAATCTAGTACAGTACGTGTATTACTTAAATTTTTGTCTTTAAAGATCATGCATAAACCATTAATTTCTAACCTTGTGGAATAAAACTCAGGTGGGATATATGCGGAAGGAAAACAAGGATGGTAATCAGGATACTGGCAGGTTGAATTCTATGCTCTTGTGGTTTTTTAGTGCTAAATGTGAATGTGAATGCTTTATATAGAATAGATTGCTTTTGGTTGAAATGATCAGTTTTAATCTGATTTTCTTCTCATTCTCACTTCTTTGTTTTCTGTACATGGTGGGCTACGGAGAGAGGTCCATTTCGAAATAAATGAAAATTTTTGTACCAATTGGCTGCTCGTATGTTAGGGAGAATGGGAAATCCTTGGCACGTACTCAAGTCCTTGATGTCCCATACGTTTATTCAGATTCTTCATTTTTCCATTTTGATCTTCCTTAAAGGCAGTGTGAAGGACAGTTATTTCCTAAATGATTTTTAAAGTGTGGTCTGAATTAGATGAATTTTTATGGGTAATTATAATTAAGTTAAAAAAAGGAAGTTTTAAAATAGAGTTATTAGGTGAAACAAAGAAGTGTTAAATTCGTAAAAGAAATGTTTATTGAAACACTCCCCATATTTGGACTAATAGATTTATTAAGCAAAGGTGGTTTCTCATGTCGTTAGTATGTCTCATTTTTCGGGGTCCTTAAGACCCCCAGATCTGTTGGATTGCAACCTCCTTCCCATTTTCCTTCCTAAAAAGTGAAATAAGCCTTGTGCGTTTTCTGCTAGCAGTGCTTTCTCGCTCTGGAATGAGCTGGCTGTTGAGCTCAGCTAAGGTGACACAGAGAGAATGTTCTCGCTGCAGACGGAGCTACGTCCATCCAACGCCGGGTTTGTGCTCCGGCAAGTCCTGGTTCCTCGTGCTCGGCTGGTGACTGCTTCCCCTTCGCTAATTCGACGTATTTTAGAACATCACCAGCAAACAGTGCTTGAGTGTTGTTTACTATTTAATTAAAACAGACTGTAATTAACTTGGATCTTCATGTAAGCTGTCGTTTTAATTGAGGTTAACTTTAAAATGTATTTAAAGACTCTCATTTGCTTTTTTATCATTTGTAGAATTCACTTTACTTGCCCCAAATGTAAGCTGCTGAA